GATAGATAGAGGCAGAGGAGTCGCGCAGCCGATCGAGGCTCCATCCCGCACCGTCGCCTTCAGCTTCCGGCCGTCCCAAGCAGGCGAGCTTCCGGCCGTCCCGAGCAGCCGATCGAGATTCCTTCTGCATGCTGCAGACCGAGCCATCGCCCGGAAAAAAATTTTTGTAAGTTTGATCCATGGTATAAAATTGCGCAATATGAGGCTCGTCTTGAGGCCCGCCTTTACGCATTCCAATAAAAACGCCTCGATGCTTACGCCTCGAGTTTTCTTATGAGGCTTACGCCTCAACTTGGTTGAGGCCCGCCTTGCCTCACTGGCATGAGGCTTGCGCCTCATGTTATATATATTAAAACTTACATAAATCTTGAAGTAAATGCCCGAAATTGGACTCTATAGGAGAGGAGGATGGGGAGAGAGCAGATCATCATAATGATGATTCAAATGAAGAACCCCTTAGTGATGACAGTGCTGATGACTTACGAGTTCTTATGTGATATGTCATTGCTATTTATTTTTGGAAATTTGAATTATATGTTAATGAAAATAATACTGGGATTTGGGAAAGATAGAATTTTGAGTTGAAATATATTTCATGTTGTCTTATTATTGGGATATTTTGATTTCACATAATATCTTATGATTTTTTATGTTTTATATTATTCACTCATTAGTATATAAAAAATTTATCATTTTATATTTACGTAATCTTTTGATTTTGAGGCTTACGCCTCAAAACGTCTTGAGGCTTACGCCTCGCCTCACGAATGAAAAACGCCTCAATACCCGAATACGCAATTTTAAACATTGGTTTGATCTATATTTTTTTTTTGCCATTCATCATTTCTCTCAATTTTTTCTCATTTATCATGTGGATTTGTGTTCACAAGAACATGTTAATTTTTTCTGAAATCACTTTGATTGTTTTGGGTTTTGGAAAAAAAATACCTAAATCAAACCCTAGTTTATAGGATATGCGATTGTTCTTGTTTTACCTAAATCAAATCCTAGGTTGTAGATTGTAGGTTTTTTTTGCTACGTTTGTTTTTCATAAATGAAAACTTTCAAATAGAAGATTGATTTAAAGAAGAAATTGCAAAAGCCTCTTTTCAAATCAAATTTCCTCTTAAAGCTTTTGGTTGAAATTTTACTTCCACTTTTATGCAAATTTTATAGTTTATTCTATCTTAAGAAGGATCATGAAAGTATCCTTTACTTCCTACTTGCTAGAGAATGACCTTTATAAAAGTAATCCAACTGCCACAGAAGCTAAAACAATGCATGACTAATGTATTTGAGCCCATTTGGACTCGACTTGGATTGATTTTGGTGGTGTTCGATTGATCTTTGTATTGAAGTCTGAATTTTATCCATTGAGAAATTTTCATTTACCATCACTTATCCTAGACATGGGAGATTTTAGATATAAGTTGTTACAAAATTGTAGGTTGTGTGATTGTTCTTGTTTTTACCTAAATCAAACCGTAGGTTGTAGATTGTATGTTGTTCTTGCTTTTGCTTTTGCTTTTGTAGGTTGTTCTTGCATTTTGAAATAGTGGTTTTATTGTGAGAGAGCTTTATGTTTTTATTGAAATGAGTTTGAGACATTTATTAAGCCTTTATTACTTCCATTTAACCAATGCAATTTTAAAGCAAAATGAGCTCTACGGATGGTGGGAGTGGATTAGGCGAAGGTTCAAAAGAACAATCTGTAGAAACTGATAAGCCATTATGGCTTCATGTTACCAAGTTAGGAAAAACATTTGAAGGAGGGAATGTGTCATTCAAATGCAATTATTCACACCTCTGCATTGTTTGGCTCATTCTTAAATCCAATGTACATTCATATTCATCTTTTAAATTAATTTAAATTTCTTGGTTAATGAACATGTACTTTTATATGATTTGTATTGTTTGAAGGTATTCAAGTAAAGAATAGCTTCTAGAAGACCATCAACGTGTCTCACCACAAAAAGATTTAGAAGTTTCAAATATGAGAAAGACATGCTTGAAACGATATTTCCCAAATGAGGAGGAGAGAAGAAAAATTAATATAGAACTTGCAAAGTTCTTTGGATATTTAGAGGATTTTGGTGATCAAGAATATTTGGTTGATAGATGGAGGATGGATCCAAAAATGTGGTGGTTAATTCATGGAGCTTCAGCACCTCTTCTTTAAATAACAGCAATAAAACTTCTTGGTCAAGTATCATCCTCTTCCTGTTGTGAGAGAAATTTGAGCACATACTCATTTATTCAATCAATGAAGAGGAATAAAATAACTCCACAACTAGCTGAAAATTTAGTTTATGTGCATACAAATCTTCGTCTTCTACCAAGGAAAACCCCACTTTATATGACAGGTGATAACAAGATGTGGGATGTTGCTGGAGATGGGTTCGAGTGCCTTGATAATATGGGATTATTGGAGGTTGAAAATCTTTCTTTAGATGAACCAGAGTTAGAAGCAATGATATTCAATAATGATGATATTGAAGGCCAAAGACCAACCTCTGAATCTAATTCTATCATTCCCACTATGGAGTAATTGGACTTTCATGTTGTACTAAATGGGTTTTTGGTTATATTTTTGTGATTGTACTAGACATTTTGTACTAAATATCTTTATATTATAAGCTAAACAAGTTATCATAACAAATTTATTATTGCTTGTCATTTGTAATATAATGTCACATTAATTTTTGTATATTATATTAAAAATTTATTACGACGTGTCCACGCCGCACCCGTGCCCTATATTTTTAAAAAATGACGTGTCCCGTGTCCGTGTCGGTGCATCATAGGTGGTAGCCAATACTGCATAAATTGAGTAAATAACACTAGCACGAGGAATTTGTGAAGGGATTTGGATAAAAAGGTTCATAGTGAATTGGGACAAATGAGTTCTTCTTCTACTATGATGATGTGTGATAATCAAGCAGCATAGCTAAGAATGTCATGTATCATAACAAGACTAAGCATGTTGAAATTGAAAGATACTTCATCACAGAGAAGGTAACTAGTGAGACTATTAAATTTAAATACATCCCTACCAAGTAATAAGTTGAAGACAACCTCACCAAAGTTTTACCTAGACCTAACTTTGAAAACTTAATTTGCAAGCTTGGATTATATGATATATATTCTTCGGCTTGAAAGAGAGTGTTGAATATTTGAAAGTAAAAGTTAGGGAGTTTATTTTAGGAATAAAAGGAGAGATTGACTATGATCTTCTCCTATGATTCTATTTTTATTTATTTTTAGGAATAAAAGGATAGATCGTTTGTGATCTTCTCCAATAATTATGTTTTCTAATTTTTAAGAAAGAATTATTCTCTTATGATTTTGTTTCCTAAATTTTAGAAAAAAATTAAGCCAGTTAGTTCCTTTATTAGACTTTTTTTTAGTATACATATGTATATATAGTACTATTCTTTTTAACAAAGAAAGAAGAATAATCAATTAAGAAAAATTTCATAGCTAGACATGCATAAGAGGGTATTGAACTAGTAGATCATTGATATGCATGTATGAGAGAGCTAAAAATATTCCACCCCTAACCTTGGGATTATATGCCATTACGAAGCATTACACTATTGGCGGCACACTACCAAAGGAGTTTATCTTATATTTATATTACCAAAATGATATTTTTCTAACAAACAACTAGGGCTTGGCATGCTTAATGGGTTGAGTTTTTCTAGTAATGTAATTCATACTATAATAATGAGCAGGTACAGAGAATAAACCTAGCAATGCATATGTTTACTCCAAAAGGCAATTTATGACTTTAAACTGAAAGATAACCATCTATTTTCTCAAGAGGAGAACAGCAAAAGCTTAATGTAAAAGGCCATCCAAGGCCTTAAATAAAGCCCCTTAACCTAGTTTGACAGTTTTTGCAAGGTCGCTTTAGAAATTTTATAGCATTACAAATCGTTTTATATTCATAAGATATATTATCTCTAGCTTTTGTTTATATCTTGCTTATTGGAAGTAATCATAACAGCATTTTTGAGGTAGAACACTACTTACAAAAGTGTGTTATCACCAAAAATCTAAGACTCCACAAGTATTTTCTTGGTGTTGAATTTTCTTAAAATAAAAATGGAATACTACCATCTCAAAGAAAGCACAGTACTGATCTTGAAGAAATTGGTATTCTTGATGCAAGTCGGCAAATACAACAATGAAGTCTTAGGCCACATCTAATAACGAAGAGCTATTGGATGACCCATCTCAATATCAAAGGTCAGTTGGCAAGCTGATTTATTTGATTTTCAGCAAACCTAACATTTCATTCATTGTATGCAATACCCTAAACAAAAGAATTGAGAAGTTATTCTATAAATTTTTTGGTATATTAAAAATTCTCCAGGAAAAGGGTTGCTATAGAATAAAATCGAGCATTTAAATATTGAAACATTCTCTAATGTGGATTGTACTGGCTCTTTTGAAGACAAAAATTGTACTTGAAGAAATTATATTCTTGTTTGAGGTAACCTGATCACCTAGAAACATAAGAAATAAATTATTGTGGCCAAATCTAATGTAGAGGCTGAATACAGAGCTATGGCTAACTCAACATGTGAAATGATGTGGTTAAACTCTTTTAGGAGAGTTTGATTTTCCAGTTACTTAGCTTATGAGATGATACTATGAAAACTACCCCATACATAAATATGAATATTCTCCACATTATTTATTTCTTCTTCGTATTCTTCATATATGTCTATTTAGAAGTACCTATATTCCGTCAATAAGATGTTAAATTCTTTATCATTCTTAGCACAATATCTTGTAGGGTTTAGTTTTGAATGAATTGTTAATCTTGAAACAATTGACATTGATTTTCTTTTACTAGGAAAGACTATGAGCTCATGCGTTGCTACAACTTTAACAATTAATTTAAGCAACCAGCATAAACTAGAAGTCTAGAAGGCTGAAAAAAAGAAAGCAAGGAAAAAAATCCCACCAAAAACGTATAGAGTTGATCTTACCCAAATATCCACTTTCTCACATATAACTTCTCTTCTATATAAGTCCCACATCTGTGAAAAACCAAAGTTTGAATGAGTGTCAAATTTATAACTAGAAAGTAGAAAGTCGTTATAAGAACTCCAAGTTCTGGAAAGTAATTTGCAATTCAAACCTCTGGAGCTCTATATGCAGGAGTAGTATGCTTTCTGATATTGTCCTCTTCAATACCCATCTCTTCTGGTCTATCAAAGCACTTGTGATTTGTTGATGTGCTACCGTAGTCACATAATTTCCAAGTTCCTTCTAAACCAAGGAGAACATTTTCAGCTTTCAGGTCCCTGAAGAAAGTTAAAAACATTCAGCAGACATAGATTGGAATTTTGATAGCAATTATTGTCCTTATTGTCATGCTAAAGTTTTACACTTGCCATAAACTGATTAAAATATGATATCAACATCAATAAACCCCTTGAGACAAAACTATATTAATGGAGGGTGTGAAATTAAAAGCCAGCAGCTGTACACCTATTAGGACAAAGACTGAGCAAAATAATGAATAGAAAAATCACCTAGGTCAATTGTAATAGCTTAGGTTTTCCACTTATAAAAGATGAGTTAAGTTTGCAAAAAATATAAGACTTCATGGTAGCAATTGCATAGACAGTGGAAAAGTGCTACATATCATTGAAGGGTATTTATCTAATAAAAGGAAGAAAAAAACAAAAACAAAAAACAAGAAAAGAAGAGAAGTTTCAACATAATACTATTTACTTTGATAGCTATATCACATTGTTGGCAGAGGGCTTTTAAGAAATACTAGGGAAAGTTGAAATAAAACATTCTAAAGCTAGAGATAGGCAATAGAAGTGTCATGTAAAAGTATCATTCCACAAAAGAAGTCATAGATAATTTGAATGAAGAAATAAAGAATTAAGAAGCAGCGATTTAGTAGTACGGAGCGTGATACCTAACATCAAACTCGGCCGTGGTATCAAACAGACCCAAATGCCGATCTTCCTAATTCGTGAAAACCCCTTGCCCTCCTATTTCTTGAATTGTGTGAGTCCCCCCATTGGGCCACAAATTTCACTCACTTGTTGACTTGTCTCTCCATTTGAGGAGCTGTAAATGCAAGGCATCATCGCACAAACTCGCCTCTTCCTCACAGCAGTAAGGGAATTGAGTCTCCCCATTGTCCCCTTAAAAGATTCTATTTGAGCCGCAACTCTGACTATCATAAGTGTTCTTCCTCTTCGATCATGAGATAGCCACCAACCTCTCTTGTTTCCTTTTTTTTCTTTATAGACTGACTAACAAGTACAATGATTCTTCTTTTTCTTCCCCCTCTCATTGTCATTCTTTTATACACACACACGTATTTCTTCTAGTAAAGTTAATTAGAGATGTGAACAACTATTTTATTATTAACTACTGTTTAGATTAGACTATGTTGAGAGCATGTTTAAATTAGATGCATGTTGTTATATTATTATTTTGATGATGATGTTAGAGAAAATTATAGTTTAAGAATCATAAGGGTACGCTTAATTTACAATGATAATAACTAAGCCGATTGGATAATAAGGTAACCCATGTTGAATATGATTGCACCTATTTCAATAGCTATTAGTTTTGAATGCCTTGTGTTATGTAGGACCTTTGAATTGTTTGTTCATCTAGTGTAGCCAATTGGTTCTCAACTAACTTTGAGTTTCACTGTTCACTTTGAGGCAAGTCACTTTTATTAATTGTAGAATAGGTATACCTTTCTTTATAAGGGGTGTTACCCTTGATATTTGTAATATGTTTCCTAGATATTATGTAGCTTGTCAATCCTGCATTTACTGCTTAGTTATTGTTGTACATGTCTTAGTGAGTCTTGTCTAATGTTCTTAATGTGAATATCATGCGATTCAAATAGCTTACCTTGATTTATTGTTGCACAAATTTATGCATGTTGAATTGATTCCTATAGTAACAAGACCTATTTTTCATGAAAATTAACTCTATTGAATTTAATAATTTTTATTTATGAAAACTATATTTTATAATGAAAATTACACTATTCATATATATTATGAAACACTATTAAATACTTTCCTATGATGCATAAAATATATATGCTTATTTACAATGGTTTGTATGTCGATAAAACTCTTTTTAATATTGGCTAGCCGAATTAATGGGTCCATAGAGTAATGACATTTTTGAGAAATCATTAGATTTCCTTGGGCTTGGTGCCTACCTTTATTGATTTTAGAGTGTCATAGAAAAATCGACTATAGTTATATATACATGCAACAACAACAATAACAAGCATTTATCCTACTACGTGGGGTCGGCTAAATTAATCCTTTTTCTCCATAGTGTTTTGTTAAGAGTCAAATTATCATTTAAATCTAAAAAAACAAATGTCATTTCTAATATTTTTAACCAAGTCTTTTTAGGTCAACCTCTACCTTTCTTAACATAAGCCAAATTTAATACATCTACTTTCCTAACCAACTCATCGGAAGGTCGCCGTTTTATGTGACTAAGCCATCTAAGGCGACTCTCTCTAATATTATCTTCTGCTGGAGCTACTCCAACTTTTTCACGTATATACTCATTTTATATCCTATCTCTAAGACTAAAGCCACTCATCCATCTGAGCATCCTCATCTCTGCAACACTTAACTTAATATTATGCTTCTCTTTTAATGGCCAGTATTCTGCACCATAAAGCATTGTAGGTCTCACTACCATCTTATAGAATCTTCCCTTAAGTTTGAGGGGGGCTTTTATCACACAACAAGCCTGGTGCATTCCTCCACTTCGACCATCCAACTTGAATTATGCAAAAAATATCCCCATCTATTTCACCATCACTTTGAACAAAGACCCAAGATATCTAAAACAAAAAATGAAAAGTGACTAACGAGTCATCTTTCGATCAGTATACTTATACTTATTAAGGTCGCTGAGTGATATGTAAGTAAAGAAATACATTGCTTATATTTTTTTTATACAAATGATCATAAACATCACCATAATGAAGGCAATCTTAAAACATATAAGTATAATATTTCTTTGACTTGATGAGACACTAACATTTATTACCTACTATTATATAGAAAATCGTTTATCTTTTACTGTCCATACTGCATACCCCAACTTCTTGACATTTATACTTTAATAAATAAGAGTTCTTGTTGGGTTTGAGTCATCAAACTCATTCATTTGTAAAATCTTTCTCATAATAGGTTTAACTGGACTATCACAACAAAAGCAAACTATTCAACAATAGTATTGCATTCAATAAAGTTTATATTGTACTATTGTAGTTCTGTTTGGTTTGGATAGTTTTGCTTCTTTAGTTGTTGCTTCCATTTTTTTTACTATTAGTTGCTAAATTTGTTGCTTTGTTGTACTATTATTATAGACTATTGATGAAATAAATAATTAGTTACTTTATATTGGTTACTTTCATATGTTCTGCTTATAATTACTTGCATATGAACATTTTTCTTTTGAATACAGAACAAGTTTAATCGATCTTGAATTTTGAGGCTTATTTCAAGGGTTAAGGTTAATCCATTCAATAAGTCATCCGTTGATAAGTTATACCACCCTTTGAGCCCAAGGTGTGACATGTAGTACAATAAACATAAAAAGTATCACAAACATTACTCATAATTGTGTAACTTAATATGGTGAAGTGCATAGCTAGCTTCTCACAATAATAGATGTTCTCTAACTTGATACGTACCTTGAAATGAAATATATAGGACTAGTTCAATTCCGCATTTAAAGTTAACATGAATCTCTACAAAATCATGTATAAAGCATAATTGATCTTTCCGGTTCAAGTGCTGAAAACTTTTTATCAAGAATTCATGGGCACTTCTCAAAATAGATAAACAACATTTTACCCAAACATTATTAGCAGAGCACAAATTTAAATTTCCAATTGAGCCGCTTGCATTGCAATAAAAACTTGAATATGCCAATTTTCATATTCTTGTTTCCATAAATACATGATAGAAAGAAAACCATGAACTCACGCACTAAATGAAGGAATTTTAATGTTGTCATTTGAAGTAATTAAATATTGGAACATTAACTGGTGAATTACCGGTGAGCAATAGGGGGAGAAAGTGAATGCATTGCAAAAACAGCATTGCAAACATCTCTGAAAATTGAAAGAACCTTCTTCTCCTCGAAGTATGCTGTTCCTCTGCTTTCCAGAACATGAACCAAAGACTCCTCACAAAACTCCAACACAAGAAGCACCTCCTTCCTTCGACCCATGTCTAATATGCTATGTGCAACCAAAGTAACAACATTTGGATGCCCTTTGAGAAGTTTCATCACTTTGATCTCCTTCATTGCAAGATCAAGTGACTCCCCATCTTGGCATATCATGTGCTTGAGAGCATATTGCTTGGATACATTTCCAACATCATGAGCAAGATACACACAAGAAAAGCCTCCTTCAGCAATCACATTCTGCACACGAAGCTTTTCATTGCCAATTTCAATTAGTTTGCCTTCTAATCCTGTTTGTTCTTTCCCAGAGAATGGTTTGAACATCCACATATCTGAAAAGAATCATATTGAGAATTTATTTAAATCGCCAGAATAATGAAATCCAACTCTTAAATGGTTAAAAAGTGGAGCAATATAAGCAAACAATAACCTGGTAAAAGTAAAACAGGGATATATCTACATATTGAAACACCATATATAAGAACAAGGTTATATGGAATTTAAATGTCAATAATAAAGTATTGGGCATAAAAGTTAAAAAAAAAAATCTTTAAAAAAAATTCAAGCTTGGGTAACTGCCAGGACAGAGATGCGATACTTGTTCAACAATAGGATTCGGGATTTACCATTTCCACTCTCCAAAAATTATTTTGTCTTATTGCAACTAAAAAACAAGGAGGTTTCAATATAAATCTTACATCAGAGACATTTTTTAAGGAAAACCACCATTGGCTATGTGAATTAAATCGCGTTTAATCTCCTATAATGCACAAGGAAAAAGTGCCAAAGCTCCCCAGACTTCTCCAAAACCAATTAAACCCTACAATCAACTCTCTTTCCAGTTAGGCTGATACCCACCCGCTAAACGCGGATCCCTCATCTCCAAGAAAACTCTAGCTTAAACAGCATACCGAAATAGATCAAAAAGTAAGAAGCATGCATAAACGAGCATCAGCGACCGATCCTGCTGAGATCCACAAGACCAAAGAAAATCTATAAAAAGAAGGCACAGATGCTAGCTTCAACTCAAATCAGAACTAGAAGAGAAATTACGCAACTGGAAGAGCCGGAAACCGCAAAAACGAAACAGAAGCAAAGTACCGACAACCGACCCGACGATCACCACTGCAGACTGAAAGAGACGATTTAGTCGGCCAGAACGGAATTCGCGGCGTTTCAAAGAGAAGGTGAAAGTGGCAGAACGAAAATGGTAGATGTGAAAAAGAAACGTGACGAAGAAGATGAGCGCATTACTGTTGGAAAGCAGGAAAATGAGAGCAACTATTTTTTTCCTTTCCCCGGTGAATGAACACCCCGTTCCCATCACGTGCGCGTGACGAATTTTATTCGCTATCACGCGACGCTTTGAATTTGATAATCGCGTGTCACGTGCCTTGCCGCATTTGAATAGATTTAAAAAATAATAATTATTTAACAATTTATAATGGGCTGTTAAATTGGTTGAAAAATAGATGCATGGATTTTTTAAATATGGGTGTTTGGTTTGATTAAAAATTGATGCAAATAAACATTTAGTGAATTTTTAACTCACTTTGGTGTATTCAAAATTCCTTCATTTTTAACTAAATTTTAAAATATTTACAAGTTGATTTTGGTGTTGATGTTAAGTGTCTCTCACTAATGCTGGTTATCGGCCTCCTATCCTCATCACTGTGAGTCACCACTTGCTGCTTCATGTGTCGCTATCGCTATTCGTCCTCTCATCGCAGTTGTTGTCAACAACATGTCTACCTCCATAATGTTGGCTCTGGTCATCAGCCGTTGCAGCTTGTAATTGCACGCCACCATTGATCATCTACTTCCATAATCATCGAATTTTACATCATATTCATTTTATTTCAAATCAAATAGAAAAAAATTGCATGTGCTTCTTTTGCACTCATCCAAATAATTTTAAATATTTCAAACACATTACATTTCTTTTAAATTGCATTCAATTATCAACAAATCGAACGACTCCTGCCTTTGTTATTTTTTAAAACAAATAGAATTTAATTAACTTGTCATTGCTTAGATATTTAGAAATACAAATATAAAAGTGACCCAAAAAAATACATGCAAGTTTTTAAACACAAAATTATTATAATTATTAAAAATAATAATTAATATGCTTTAATTTGTCCTTTTTTAAGGTGGGAACCAAATCCTACACTACATACAATACTTATATGTGAAAATTTTATAATACAATCAAATTTAATATATAATATATACTCCTTTGATGAGTTATAGAGTTGATAACACAACACATATGAGAAGGTGGTGGAATGGCAAATTGAAGAATCTAATGAATACTTTGTATATCGATTAGAAATTTGTAAAGATTGTTTGGCATATTAAAAAATTCATCAAATTTTAGAGCTCATGTTAAAGATTTATTTTCAATATATCTTCTAATGATTGACTCATTGACTAATAAAGTAGAAGAACAAATAGAGCAAAGGCAAGAGGAAAAAACTAAGGAATTTCTTTCAGAAGGTTTAGAAAGTCTATTTCTCCAATTGAGGAGTGAATAGAAATAGTAAACTGCAGGATACTAGAAAAGAAAAAGTACATATTTTGTCATCAAGCCTCCTCTGCTTTGAAAGAACTCGTCGCCCCGAGTGAACTAAGCCGTGTGATGGCATTGTCTGGCAGACAATAAGCATACAAATTATAAATGAAGGTGGATGAAGGTTGGATGTCAGGTGGAAGAACAGTTATTCTCTTGGCTATCAGAATGGGATGACTTTTTTTAAAACTCAATATGTAGAATATATATCATATGTGCATTTTCAGGTATTTAACATGCAATCGGTGAGTAATAGTGTGAGAACTTGCGTCTTGAGGGCTCACATAAGAGCTCTCCTAAAGTTCATAAAATCCATTTCCACAAAGGACTCATTAGAGAGTCGCCTCTCACATCAATAGTCCAACTTGCCACTCACCTACCCATGAGAAACTCGCCAACAACGCCGCTTGCCATATGCTATAATAGAGTGTCGTTGAACTGGCTTTATATCTTAACTATAGCGAACGTGCCGATTCTAGAAAATTTCAACTTGCCCTATCTAATCAACCAACCACGGAGCTCGCCTACCTTGCAATACAAATTCACATGCCTCTCCCCCTCTACAAAGTCATATAAGGCTTCGTGAATTCAAGGTGTCAAAGAGCCTCAATCTCTTTTGCTCAAAACTTGTCAGTGGACTCACCCTAGGCCAGCTCACCTTTGAACACTCAACACTTCTAAGCTCGACCAAAGAAAGACAGTGTAGTTTAAGGGTGACCACCTTCCTCACAGCTAGGGAGAGTGCGACGCTTATTCAAGACAATCTATAGGGTTATCGAGTCATATATTTGTATTCATTTATTAATGTAGCTTTTCAAGTAGTCTTCTCATCCCTAAAAATAAATGGTGAAAAGGACCATTTTGAATCTTTGGCATTTTAGCATTTATTAGAACTTGTAAAGGTTTTCATGCATGCTCACACTGCTAGCCTGCTAATAAAGTTAAATATCTCTCACGAATAAATTTGAAAACAATAAAGTAAGTGATGGGTGGACACTCTTCTTGTAGTTGATAACTTTGGTTTGCCCATTTGTTTGGGGTGGTAGATGAATCTCATAAGGTGGTTTGTTTGCAACCGTTTCCAATATTCACACCAAAAATAACTTATAAATTTAACATCTACATTAGAGGTGAGGATACAAGGGAGCCCATGCAGACAAATAATTTTATGGAAGAACAGTCGAGCCACATTAACTGTGTTGAATGACTTTTTTGCAAAAAAAAATTGCACCATTTTAGAAAACTTATCATCAGATCACCATCGATCATCGTTGTCGGACTATTGTTAGACCATCATTATTGGACCTATGTTGCCTGATGATTGTTGTCAAACCTTCATTGCCCAATCGTCTCTATCTAACTTCCTTCATTCGATCATAGTGACATATCACTGCCTTCACTTGACAACCGCATTAGATCTCTACCTCTCCTTGATGATCACGTTAGATCACTGCTTGACCAGCAAAGTCATTGGATCACAATCATCTAGCCATCTTGTCCAATCATCATCAATATGTCAAGGGCTGTCAAAATCGAGTCACGAGTTGAGTTTGGGTCCAACCCGAATTGACACGACACAAGTTAACCATACCCATTTTTGTAAATGGGTCACTTTTCAAACCCGAACCCAACCCGCTTTGGAGTCGGGTCAATCCGACATGACCTGCCAACCCGGGTCAGCGACGATAATGACTACATCAAGGACGATGACGCTATCAATCCTCCAGCTACCATCAACCCTTGCCGACGGGGTCAGATTTTATCTAATTTTGGGCTAGAGCAGATGGTGGTGACAGCATGTCGGCGGTAGTACAGTGTTGTCGTCATTAGCTGCGGCGAGGGGGACGATTGGGGACATTTATCGATAGGGTCAGCTAAGGTAGGCACGCAAACTGCGTATGTTTATCGGTAGGGTAGGTTGAGGGCGGCACGTAGACGGCGAACGGTACACAGATGACACTTGATGTGGACGGGTGAGCTGACACCTGACGCAACACGGGGACGAGATGATGAAGAGAATTGACGCGAGTCGCGGTGAGAGAAGACTAATGAAGCAGGTTTCGGGTCAGCCCTGGTCAAATCCTAGAACACGAGCCAGACCCATTTGCAAAACATGTTGACCCTAACTCAAAATTTTATTGTTTGATTTTTAGGTCATGTCAAATATTAACAACTCTAAATAAGTCGTTGCCACCTAACATACATCATTGGACTACTTTCACTCAACCAGAACTAACTAAGCGCCTATCACTCAATGCCAACTCCATAATATTTTCCACCAACTCCTCTAACTAGTGTAATCCAACCATTTCCAAATAAATGGACGAGCAAACTTTTATAATCAAAGCTCATAGTAGAATCATTTCAGTTAAGGCCTAGAAGAGGAAGCTCTGTTTTGCTAAAAAAATTACTATCCCAAGAAAAAAAAGGCTACTTTGAGGGCCGATTGGAGTACTCACTTTTCTCAATATGTGCAAGATGCAGAACGAGAAAGCCCTCTACAAATAATGAAAATTCTGACTGGCCAACAAACACTTCATGATCAACAAATTGAGATATATTTGATTCAATTTTCAATATTTAAATTTGTTTTGTCATAATTGCAGATTGAATTTGATTCTAGATTTAATCAAAATGAATGTATTTCATTTAATTTTAAATATAAATCAAATTGAATCAAGCAGACCTCAAGCTACACCATACCCAAGGCCGCCCCAAAATATTTAGTGCAAAGAAAATCACTGAAACTGGTCGATTAGTTCAGTTATGATTGACAATTTTGCATAATTGATAGGTTTAGGCTTTGTTCGAGACGGCTTTCTAACTGCTTTTTAAAATTAATGTAGAGAAATTTTAAAATTTTTATAGAAAGCAACTTATTACAACAAAAACAACAAGCGTTTATCCCATTATATGGGATCGACTACATGAATCCTTTTTTTTTTATTGTGTCCAATTAAGAGTCAAATTCTCATCTAAATCTAACAAAGAAATGACATTTTTAATATTTTCTAACCAAGTCTTTTTAGGTCTACCTCTTCCTTTCTTAACATAAATCAAATCTAATACATCTACTTTTCTAATCGGGTCATCGAAAGCCCTCCGTTTTATGTCACCAAATCATCTACGGCAACTCTCTCTAATCTTATCTTTCACTGGAGCTACTCCAACCTTTTTAAGTATATGCTCATTTTTTATCCTATCTTTAAGAGTAAAGCCACTCATCCACTTGAGCATCCTCATCTCTGCAACACTTAACTTATTATTATGCTTCTCTTTTAATGGACAACATTCTGCACCATAAAGCATTGCAAGTCTCACTACCATCTTATAGAATTTTCCCTTAAGTTTGAGAGGGACTTTTCTATCACACAACAAGCCCGATGCATTTCTCCAATTCAACCATCCAACTTGAATTCTACTAATAATATCCCCATCTATTTCATCATCACTCTGAACAATAAACCCAATTAATTAAAATGTGTACTCTTATTTATGACTTAATCATCCAAAGTCACAATCCCCCACTAGATCTATCATTACTAAAATTATACTCCATATATTCAATTTTAGATCTACTCAAACGAAAATTTTTAGACTCTAAGGTTGACCTCCATAATTCAAGTTTATCTTCAACTCCCTCTTTAGTCTTATCAACAAAAAACATACACCAAAGTACAACTTGAAAATGTCTAGCAGAACATCCATATGACAAAAGCAAAAAAGATACGAGCTTAAGGCGT